TGGTGACATTACACATCCCTGTCTAAGACCTACTTTTACTGGGAAGTAGTCTCCCTCTCTTCTACACATCCTAACCTGAGCCTCACTATCCTCATAAAAACTCTTTACAGCATTTAGTAACTTGCCACATATTCCATATACTTGCAGCATCTGCCACATTGCTTCCCTATCCACTCTATCATATGCCTTTTCTAAATCCATAAATGCAATAAAAACTTCCCTACCTTTATCTAAATACTGTTCACACATATATGCTTCAATGTAAACACCTGATCTACACATCCCCTACCCACTCTAAAACCTCCTTGCTCATCCGCAATCCTACATTCTGTCTTACCTCTAATTCTTTCAGTATTAACCCTACCGTACACTTCTCCTGGTATACTCAGTGAACTTATTCCACTATAATTTTTTCAATCTCTCTTGTCCCCCTTCCCTTTATATAAAGGGACTATACATGCTCTCCGCCAATCCCTAGGTATGTTCCCCTCTTTCATACATTTATTAAACAAAATTACCAACCACTCCAACACTATATCCCACCCTTGCTTTTAACATTTCTGTCATGATCCCATCAGTTCCAGCTGCTTTACCCCCTTTCATTCTACGTAACCCCCCCCCCCACTCACACACCCTGCTCTTCTTCACTCTTAAAAGATGGTATAGTTCCCTGGCCAGTGCATGAAATTACCACCTCCCTTTCTTCGTCGACTTTTATGAGGTCCTCAAAATATTCTCGCCATCTACCCAATACCTCCCTCTCCCCATCTACTAATTCCCCTACTCTGTTTTTAACTGACAAATCCATTAGTTCCCTAGGCTTTCTTAGCTTGTTTAACTCACTCCAAAAATTTTTTCCTATTTTCATTAAAATTTCTTGACAGTGCCTCTCCCACTCTATCATCTGCTCTCCTTTTGCACTCTTTCACCACTCTCTTCACCTTTCTTTTACTCTCCATATCTTCTACTGTTCTTATAACACTTCTACTTTGTAAAAACCTTTCATAAGCTACCTTTTTCTCTTTTATCACACCCTTTACTTCATCATTCCACCAATCATTCCTCTTTCCTCCTGCACCCACCCTCCTATAACCACAAACTTCTGCCCCACATTCTAATATTGCATTTTTAAAACTATTCCAACCCTCTTCAACCCCCCCCACTACTCATACTTGCACCAGCCCACCTTTCTGCCAATAGCTGCTTATATCTCGCCCGAACTTACTTCCTCCCTTAGTTTATACACTTTCACCTCCCTCTTGTTGTTGCCATTTTCCTCTTGTCCCATCTACCTCTTATTCTAACTGTAGCTACAACTAAATAATCATCTGATATATCAGTTGCCCCTCAATAAATGTGTACATCCTGAAGCCTACCCATCAACCTTTTATCAACCAACAAACAATCTAACAAACTACTTTCATTTTGTGCTATGTCATACCTTGTATATTTATTTATCCTCTTTTTCATAAAATATGTATTACTTATTACCAAACCTCTTTCTACACATAGCTCAATTAAAGGCTCCCCATTTTCATTTACTCCTGGCACCCCAAATTTACCTACTACTCCCTCCACAACAATTTTACCCACTTTAGCATTGAAATCTCCAACCACAAGTACTCTCACACTTGGTTCAAAACTCCCCGCACATTCACTCAACATTTCCCAAAATCTCTCTTCTCTAGGTGCATATACGCTTACTATAACCCACTTTTGACATCCAGCCTTTATTTTACTCCACATAATCCTTGAATACATTTATAGTCTCTCTTTTCCTGCCATAGCTTATCCCTCAACATTATTGCTACTCCTTCTTTAGCTCTAACTCTATTTGAAACCCCTGACCTAATCCCATTTATTCCTCTCCACTGAAACTCTCCCACCCCCTTCAGCTTTGTCTCACTTAAAGCCAGGACATCCAGCTTCTCATTCATAACATCCACAATCATCTCTTTCTTATCATTTGCACAACATCCACGCACATTCATACATCCCACTTTGACAATTTTCTTCTTATTCTTTTCAGTAATTATTACAGGAAAAGGGGGTTACTAGCCCATTGTTCCCGGCAATTTATAGAGCAATTTCTTGCAAATGCAATTGAGATGTTAGTGGGAGAATACATACTATGTGACACCCCTATGTGGGCTTCTCTGTCAGCGTTGAAAATTGAATAGTACGTATTTTGAAGACTTCTTCATGTGACTTTTACAACAGGCATGGCTTATGGAGGAAAGATTCTTATTCCACTTCCCCATGGATATAAAAGGAAAAATAATAAGAACAAGAACTATTAAGATAAAATAAAAAAAAACTCAGATGAGCGTGTATAAATAAATGTGTACATGTATGTGTAGTGTGACCTAAGTGTAAGTAGAAGTAGCAAGACATACCTGTAATCTGGCATATTGCATGTTTGTGAGACAGAAAAGAGACACCAGCAATCCTACCATCATGTAAAACAATTACAGGCTTTCGTTTTACACTCAATTGGCATGAGGGTAGTACCTCCCTGGGTGGTTGCCGTCTGCCAACCTACTACTATTAATTGTATTTACATTATTTCTTATGGGAAAAATTGATTCAGTTATTGGACATTTCGGTTTTAGAACCACTTTCTGGAATGGGTTCAAAAACCGAGGTTCCACTGTACCTTGTTCACTTAGTTTAATCATTTATTAAGCTGCCACGAGAGACACAGAGAATGTAATAATAATAATTAATAATAATAATTGCTCTGGAGTGCTCTAAATGTCGGTTACCAAACCTATACAAAATACGTATGACGTTTAAAGCACTCCAGAGTGATTATTAATTATATTTTATTATCACCATCGACATACCTTGTTCAGTGAGTTTATCATTTCTTTCTTAATCAGCTAACCCCTTTACTGTGAACTACTTTTGTACTTCTTTCATGTTCCTCTTCCAAGTGCTGCTGCACTTTTATCTTGTACTATGGGGTGCACAATAAAGTACAAATTTGTACAAATATGTAGTCTTGGAGACTTTAAAAGCTAGTGTACTGAGTGGCTGTAAGAAGAAGATTGAGATGCTTGACACCGAGACGCTGCGCCGCCCTTTTCTGCGACCCAACTTCTTGTACGGTATACAATACCGACTCGTCAGAGAGCCCATCGTAACTCCGAGTTCTAAACGAGTACGTCAGTAAGTGAGGAGAGGCTGTATATATATCAAATATGAAATAACTTTAAAATGCTTGAAATTTTGGAACGTTTCCAGACATAATGGAGAGACACGGAGCTCATAGAGAATGTAAACAAACCAGGTGGGGCGCAGTGATCATATTAGAAAGTCAATTGGGGGAGCCGTATAAGTGTGTTTTGGTCATAATTTGAAATGTCCGTATTAGCAGAACACCGTAAAACTGGGCCCTACTGTATTGACCATTAGTGGTATTCAAGACACAACTGAGCCTTCTATTCAACAGAGCAATATAATTATCAGTTCTACAGGTTTTTTTTTTTTTTTTTTTTTTGCCAGGCTCTACCAAATAAATAAGAGCCACTACACATACACACACAGGTCTCCCTCCACATTTGCGAGGGTTAGGGGATCAAGAACCTTGTGAATGTTGAAAAATCTTGAATATTTGGTGCTCAAATGTAGGGAAATATAATAGCATTTACTTAGCCTAACAATATTGCTTCCATAACCTATTGAACCACGAACAATTATAAAACACATGAAAACATTGTAAAATATTGTACTAGTGCCAGCCCTTTGGTAAAGAGGGTGAGAAGGACTATAGAATTCAAGAAAGAGCTTGTAGCAGAGTACCAAAGTGGAGGAGGAAGAGAGAGGGGAGAATGTGCCTTCTTCAGTGATTCAACGATATGTATGATACTAAAGCAGCATGAGCTGATAACGGCTATAGCAACAGCCAGCGATAAACTGTAGCATTAACGGTGTAGCAAGTAAGTTAAGCAATTAATCGATAGAAAAAGGACAGCACGAACCTAGCTCCTCCAATGTTGTTGGAGTTGTATAGGGCGACTGACAACACTACCGTCTCTAGTCTCTACCGCCTCCACCACTACTATGTAAGGCTTATGTCTCGGTGGCTCTTATGCACCCAACAACACAAACACAACAACACTCGTGGCATACTTAATGATGTATTTTATTCACTCTAGAGTATGTCATGTTTCTGTGTTATTAGTATTGTTTATTATGTCGTATTAGATGAATTGTAACAGATAAATAAGCCGTAGAGTTGATAGTGTCATATTGAAGGGCTATCTTGTTCTATCTCCAAACAAACTCTGCCACCGCCATAATTCCTAACATTTGTAATGAAATATTTTAAATATGATTGGGCGGCTGGGAATTCAGGAATGTTCAAAGCCCACGAAAGTGGAAAATGCGAATGTTGAGGGAGACCTGTAGTATGATTGTACACAAAATATCAATGTATTTAGTGAAAAATAAGATAAAATTATTTATATTCAGTTCATCAAATTGTAATTATTAAATCTACAGTTCTAGACCAGTTACTATCAAACAAATATATAAAATAAGCATAAACAAAATACAATGGACCCTTGCCTAATGATATTAATTGGTACCCGAGAACGAATATCGTTAGGCGAGTTTTTTAGCGTTAGCCGAGGCAAAATGTTAGCAGTAAAATGTATCGTTAGGCGAATTTAATGTTATGCAATGTGTTCGTTAGGCGAGGGTCCACTGTACATGTATAAATGTATTTGGTGAAAAAATAACTTTGAAAAATTATTTATTGGAAAAGATTTGTTTGGATGTTTACTATATTCATATCTCCAAATTAGTATTAAGAAATTAATTGCAGTTATTCTTAACTTGGATGCCTGGGTTCTGCTGAACTGCATTCAAATGGTTATAAGTGGCATGAGTTATATTCTGTATGTAGATTTTTTATTATTAACAGAATAGTTCTTAAAAATCTATACATGTTAAGTAATTTTGATTTCAGAGTAATAGTTTGCTTCCTTCCTCAGAGACTTGCAATATGCGCAGCAACAGTTATGTTCACACTGAGTCAGGATCGACTGAATATGGACCTAGACCGTGACTCATTGGAACTCATGTTGAATCTTCTCGACACTGATGCTGATACTTCAGAAAATATTTCTCCCGGAGATGTCACTTTTGTCAACCAAAATAAGAAAAAAATTCGAGAGCTCTGTAGAGACATGCAAAAGAAGGGCCATGCAAAGCATCTCAATCTTGATAACATCAATGTGAGTTTCATATATCTACCACATCCCTTAATCTGTTTTTTTACCTTGGTCATTTATAATCAAGGGAAATCAATAATATACAAAAATAATGAAATTATGTTGTATACATGTACTGTATATCGTTACATGTTCCAGAAATGAATCCTGATGGTGATTAATTTCACCAAAACATTGATTGTGCTCCAGTAAATGTCTTAAGAGATTTTACAGGGTTTTCCCAAATACTGTGAGTTGCATTTCTTCATGCTAAATCATCATGAGTACTATACAGTGGTACCTCGGGATGTGAACTTATTTTGTTCCAGAAGGCTGTTCGAGTGCTGATGCCGAACGAATTTGTTCCCATGGGAATAACGTAAATTAGATTAATCCGTTTCAGACCCCCAAAAATACACTTACAAAAAGCACTTACATAAATACACTTACATAATTGTTCGCGTTTTGAGCTGTTCGTATCCCGAGGTACCACTGTATATGACTGTTTGTTAAAAGGATCGCTTACTATTTATAAAAAATTTACTAAAATGAAAATTATAGTTAATTTTTAGTTTTGTGAGATATCCTAATCCTTCAACTGTAAAAATTTATAGGAATATGAAAGATAGCAGTTGAGAGGTGTGGACTAAAAAAAATAGCTTTATTAGTTATGGCGGAACATAATACATAATATACTGCCTTTGACTCTCAGGCAGGTAACCTAGCCATGGAGACACTCCTCAGTCTAACCTCAAAACGAGCTGGAGAGTGGTTTAAGGAGGAGCTTCGGGTGCTTGGAGGAGTGGAGCACTTGGTACGCACCATTACGCACTGCACACAGCTTTTCTCACCGGGCTTAGAAAAGTGGTCCCATCCATTGTTGGAAAAGTTGTCGAAAGTTGACCGCTGCCTCAAAGTTTTAGAAAATGTGAGTAGAAGTGATAGTATAGCAGTTGTTTGTTTACTCAGGCTGGGAGCAATGGGCTAGTAACCCCTTCTCCTGTATAAATTACTAAAAATAAGGCAACCTTTATATAGCTGAGATGTTTGAATGTATGTGGATGTAGTGCAGATGATAAGAAAGATGATTGCCAATGTTATGAATGAAAAGAAGTTGAATGTCCTAGCTCTAAGTGAAACAAAGCTGAAGGGGGTAGGGGAGTTTCAGTGGGGAGAAATAAATGGGATTTGGTCAGGAGTATCTGAGAGAGAGAGAGCTAAGGAAGTGGGTAGCAATAAGTTGAAGGATCAGTTATGGAAGGAAAAGGGAATTTTTTTTTTTTTTTTTTCAACAAGTTGGCCGTCTCCCACCGAGGCAGGGTGACCCAAAAAAGAAAGAAAATCCCCAAAAAGAAAATACTTTCATCATCATTCAACACTTTCACCACACTCGCACATTATCACTGTTTTTGCAGAGGTGCTCAGAATACAGCAGTCTAGAAGCATACACATATAAAGATACACAACATAACCCTCCAGACTGCCAATATCCCAAAACCCCTCCTTTAAAGTGCAGGCATTGTACTTCCCATTTCCAGGACTCAAGTCCGACTATATGAAAATAACCTGTTTCCCTGAATCCCTTCACTAAATATTACCCTGCTCACACTCCAACAGATCGTCAGGTCCCAAGTACCATTCGTCTCCATTCACTCCTATCTAACACGCTCATGCACGCTTGCTGGAAGTCCAAGCCCCTTGCCCACAAAACCTCCTTTACCCCCTCTTAAGTCAATGTGACCTGACCTGACTAGGTTGGGTGCATTGGCTTAAGCCGGTAGGAGACTTGGACCTGCCTCGCATGGGCCAGTAGGCCTTCTGCAGTGTTCCTTCGTTCTTATGTTCTTATATACACACACACATATACACACACTCACAATACGCACACACATATACACACCACAATACACACACACACACACACACACACACACACACACACACACACACACACACACACACACACACACACACACACACACACACACACACACACACACAATACACACACACAATACACACACAATATCACACACACACAATACACACACTCACAATACGCACACAATACACACACAATACACACTCAATACACACACACACACACACACACACACACACACACACACACACACACACACACACACACACACACACACACACACACACACACACACGCACACATACAATACACACACAATACACACACACAATACACACACACAATACACACACACAATACACACACACAATACACACACAATACACACACAATACACACACACACACACACACACACACACACACACACACACACACACAACATGCACACACATGCACACATACAAGCATGCATATACAACAGGTCTAGTGTCTAATTGACATGTGCCTAGGACAAAATGGTAACTAACACACACACACACACACACACACAGACAAATAAGCAGAGCTAGACATATATAGACAGAGACAGACATGCATGTTTGTAACAGTGAAAAGAAATGAAGCCAGGGTTCCCTGCAGCAGTGCTTTATCATCATGTATCACTCCACTGCTTACCCTGTCAGCAGTTTAGTGACTCCTCATAAACACCATGCTTCAAGAAGTTTCATATATGTTCCAGCATGTGTAAAACATTGCCGAGACCTATAAATATACTTAGTGTATATTTCTAGACAATAGTAAATGACCAAGGCTGGCAAAAATATTCACCTGTCAGTGTGACTGTGACTGAGTACTATTTCACTACTTAATATTAGTGTCAGAACAAAGATTGGCTATGAAATCACAAAAACTGTTATAAATTGGAATTATCAGAACATAAAAATTATATAAAATAAAAAAAACGAGAAAAACAGTATATCGGCAACACTTCTGTAAGTGGCAGGATTCGATGTTGCTGTCAGGCGAGTATCCAGCACCAACATTGCAGTCTTATATCTCGGTAAGTACCGGTCTTTAATTTTTTTTTTTAACCCAAAATATTCGGAGCTCTGCGTGAGTGAATGTAGATCTACGTTTGGACAGTTTAGGGGTTAAGCAAGTGTTTTTGAAGTTTTGAACCAAGTGAGAGGGTAATTGTGGTAGGGGATATGAATGCTAAAGTGGGAGAAATAATTATAGAGGGTGTGGTAGGTAAGTTTGGGGTGCCAGGTGTAAATGATAACGGGGGGCCTTTGTCTGAACTTTGTATAGAAATGGGTTTCGTAATAGGTGATACATATTTTAAGGGACAAAAAAGATAAATGAGTATACAAGATATGACATACGGCATAATGACAGTGGTTTGTTGGACTATGTATTGGTAGATAAGACTGATGGGTAAATTTCAGAATGTGCATGTTTATATAGGTGTTATACAGAATGTGCATGTTTATATAGGTGTTAATGTTGCAGTTTAAAAACTGTAGTGTAAAGCACCCTTCTGGCAAGACAGTGATGGAGTGAATGATGGTGAAAGTTTTTCTTTTTCGGGCCACCCTGCCTTGGTGGGAATCGGCCAGTGTGTTAATAAAAAAAAAAATAAAAAAATAATATATACAGTGAATCCTCAGGTAACAATGTCATCGGATACCGAAAAAATTGGATAGCGACACATTTTTGCGTCAAAATATTGGCTTGGTTACCGAATAAGAACTCGGTTAACCCTTTCAGGGTTTCGGACGTACTAGTACGGCTTACGCACCAGGGTTTTTGACGTACTAGTACGCCTAAATTCTAGCGCCCTCAAATCTAGTGAGAGAAAGCTGGTAGGCCTACATATGAAAGAATGGGTCTATGTGGTCAGTGTGTGCAGTATAAAAAAAAATCTTGAAGCACACAGTGCATAATGAAAAAAAAAAAAACTTTGACCTTGTTTTTGGATTAAAACAGCGACTTTGCACTGTATTTTTGTATGGTATTTATTGTTGTATTCTAGTTTTCCTGGTCTCATTTTATAGAATGGAAGACATATTACAGAAAATGAGATGATTTTGACTGGTTTTACAATGAAAAATACCTTGAAATTGAGCTCAAAGTAGCAGAAATGTTCGATTTTTACCAAAGTTCAAAAGTAAACAAATCATGCTAAGCATCCAATACACGTCAACTGGCGAGTCTAATATTCTTTCACAAGTGTGCCAATATTATTTATACCATTTCTACACTAATGCAGTAGTCTGCATAACAGTAAATCTTCTAAAATGGAAAGCAAAAGAATGTAAGAGTGGCGTGGGGACGTGATTAATGAAGAGAGGAAATGTTATTTTAATGCCAGGAATGTCTTTCTTGTTTATTCTGGACTCTATTTGGAAATTGGCATCTTTTGAAATTTGTGTGAATTTGGCAAAATTGCTAAATTCTTACCACTGTATTGGATAGTTGAAATCGGTAAATGGGTGGTTTCTTGTACTCATTCGATAGAAAAAATGGAGTTCTAGCAAAATAGTTATGATTTTTGTCGACTAGTACACTGGAATTGGCCAAAAATAGGGCTCGAAGTGCGCAAAATAACCGATGCATAAACATCGTCAAGACTGCTAACTTCGCGAGAGCATCATTCTGTAAGTTTTCCATCAAATTTCATACTTTTGGTGTCATTATGATCGGGAAAAGATTATCTTTTCATAAGAAAAAAATAATTTTTTTTTTTTTGAAATTTGGACGACCCTGAGAACAAGTCTGGGGGAGGGCTTGGGGACCCTAAAAGGGTTAAGGGCATTCGTCCCGAACGTGTCCGTGCAGCTTCAGCCGCCCAGCCACTCCATGTATCCATATATAGGCAGTGTGCCATTGTTTACAAGCCAGGGAGGATGATTCCACACATTCATGCGATATATTTTGTATTCCATTGTTTTTAGTGCTTGTAACTGCTAAGAAAGCCACCATGGACCTAAAGAAAGTTTCTAGTGCCAGCCCTGTGGTAAAGAAGGAAAGAAACACAATAGAATTCAGGAAAAAACTCGTAGCAAAGTACCAATGTGGAGGAGGAAGAGAGGGGGAGATTATGCCTTCTGCAGTGATTCAGCGATTCTAAGATATATACGATACTAAAGCAGCAGGTATTGATAAAGGCTATAGTGCCAGTCAGCGATAAAGTGTAGAATTAACAGGGTAGCAAGTAAGTTAAGCTAGTGAGCGATAGAAAAACGACATGAAAGTAACTCTCCATTGTTGTTGGATGTGTATAGGGCCAATGAACATACGCCGCCTTGCTATCTTCCACCACCCTAAACCTCTGCCAGCATCTCCTCCATCAAACTAACTAATTAAACTAACATCATCTCCAAAGTAAGTGTAAATATAAGAGGACCCCAATGGAAATGAGTAACTGACTTTTTTGGGTTATCCTATGTACTTTACACACATGCTGCTATGTATGGTAATTTATGTAACTGTATTTGTGTATACCTGAATAAACTTACTTATTTATAAATTAAAATGTAAATATTTCATATTTATAAATTACATACATTGTTTAATCGTGAATTGTGGTGGTGGCTCTCAGTGGCCCTTATAAACCTAACAACAACACCACCACCACCACCACTTACTCCTCACATACATTATGACACATTTTATTCTAGAGTACAGTAGGGCCCCACTTATATGGCAGGTTAGGTTCCAGGCTACCGCCGTAAAGTGGAACACCCTTTTTTTCCACTCATAAATGCATATAAATACTAGATAGCAAGCTTACACTAACATATATTAAGTTAACAATAGAACTAGGCATTAAAAAACAAGAAAAAAGTAAAATGCACCTATAGTACACTCATTACTTACCTTAAAATATTTGTAGTCTTAATCTAGGGTGAGATGAGTAGTATGTATGGTAGTCAGCCAGGCTACCATGCCAGGCCACCCCACTCACACATAATATTCTATGACATTTAAGCATCCCAGAGCGATAAAATGCATATACAGTTCACTCATTACTTAGCTTAA